GCTCGCCAGTTAAGTTCAGAGCTTGCAGCCACCACTGGAACTGTTGCATCACGGCAAACAATATACAGAAGGCTTAATGAAAAAGGCTTTTATGCCAGAAAGCCAAGGGTATGTGTTTTACTGTCTTCACAGAAAAAGAGGGATCGCTTTAATTGGTGTAAAGAACATCAAAACTGGACTGAACATCAATGGTCCCATGTTCTTTTTACTGATGAGTCGCGGTTTAGTTTAACTGGTGATTCTAAATGTGTTTACATCTGGAGGGAGTCAGGAACACGAAATGATCCCTCGAACATTGTGGAACGTGACCGTTTCGGTAGTGGAGGTGTGATGGTATGGGGTGGAATAATGATCGATGAACGTACGCCCCTACAACGTGTTCAGCAGCGGATCTGTGACAGGCCAGATATATCGAGATGAGGTCTTAGATCCTTATGTAAGACTTTTCAGGGGTGCATATGGACCTGACGTTTTATTTATGGATGATAATGCCCGTGCACATCGAGTAAACCTCGTTGATGAATTCCTTAAAAGTGAAGACATTAAGCGAATACCTTGGCCACCAAACTCTCCTGACCTTAACCCGATAGAGAACTTATGGGACTACCTTGGAAGAGCAATTGCACGTATACATCGTCCTCCTAGAGATGTAAATGCTCTGAAGACGGCATTGCTGGAAGAGTGGAGATTAATTCCCCAAACTGTGGTTAATAACGTTATTTCCAGCCTTAAAACACGTTGTGATATGTGTGTACAAGTCAGGGAAGATCATATTCCATATTAAATTCGTAAGACTTTTCTGAATCATTCCTTTTTTTTCTTAACTCTCTTTGTCACACTTTATTACCATTTTTATTGTTTCATGCTACAATTTTATATCATATGAGGTGATCTTCAATTTTTACTTTTGCATTTATGTGTCATCATGTTATGTATGATTCCACGAAAATTCATTAAATTATTAGTCATAGTCTCTGAGAAATCCGTGAATTTATGCATGTAAACATAATTTTGGACATGAGTGTATATAATGAAATGTTATCATAGAAATTTTTTCCTACCGTTTATTCGACTTTGTTATTTTGAACAGCTTATTTATGTTCTATATCTGGAATTTCTGGACATTTAATCCTTAAAATATAAGGCCTAGCACATAACAACTCGGCTCAAAATTGTTTCAAATATTAATTAAAAATCTACATATCAGGAAAAGGTATTAGTCTTGCAATTGTCACAAATTTTTGTTTTTTAAAGAATTTTTTGACCTTTTGAAACTTTAATGGCAAATTCTTTGAAGAGTTTGTAATCTGAAGTTTTAGATTGCATTTTGTTTACTTCCCTTTCATTTCCCCTTTTTAATCATTTAACTAGCGGAAGTACTCGATGCCACTTAAATTAGATTGAGAGTAATGTATACAACAACAGAGAGAACGATACTGTTGTGATCCTTCTCTAATAACGATTCAAAAAATACGATTCATAGACATACATTTTTCACTCTGATGCGATATGGAACCCACATAAAAATGTCGATAGAAAAATAAATAAATTCTCTCTCATTATCAGCAAATTGTTGCTGATAATGAGAGATCAAATGGTCGTAAAAGCTCAAGTTCCATCCAATATTTCCCCTATATTCAATTTTAGTCGATTAAATGTTGTAAAAATTCATAACAATTGATCAGAAATCAATAATGCGAACAAACAAACACACAAAGAGACATTCTTCTTTATATATATAGATTTTGTAAAAATTAGAAATTTTTTTATTAAAAAACTCTACGATTTGAAAGCGAGCAGAAGCAACACTTTTCGAAATTTTTATCTTTTATGCTTTCGAACTTTTAAGCATTTTTATCTTTAAGGCGCGAGACTGTTGCCACTCGGAAAAATAAGAGCGAAAATTAGTATTTTCAGAGTTTTTAATTAATATCTCGGCTGATTAAAGTCGTACGAAGATGGGAACAGTCGAAATGGCTTCCCACGAATTTTTGGGATCGGGAATAATGTATTTAATGTTTGACAATGCTATATTTATTTCATTGCAAAAGTTAGAAATTTTTTACTAACAAACTATACGATTTGAAAACGAGCAGTGGCAAAGTTTCTCAAAATAAAGCAGATTTTTATCTCCAGCTTGCGAGACTGTTGCCACTCGGAAAAATGAGGGCAAAAAAGCGTTTGCAGAATTTTTAATTAATATATCTGATGTTAGCTATTTCTTTTTTTTTGGGGGGGGAGAATGAGGACTTCGACCTTTCCCAGGACCCAGAAAAGAATTGTAGAAAGTTTGGTGACATAGCTCTAGTAGTGATTGAGTTAATCGCGAACAAAGAAATACATAAACACACACATTATTTTTTATACCGTATAGATATTGGTAACTACACTATGTTAAAAATCAACTTTTAGTTAATTCTTCACCAAGACTCCAAAGAAAATTTCAAAAACGAGATAATTTAATTAAAAATGATTTTAAGGTTTATCCTCAAAAGCAAGGATAGAAAATATATTTTTAATTGAACATAAAGCAAAATTTAAAATTATTTCTAATGAAAGAAAGCTTTCTATAAACAAAATTTAGTTAAAGAAAAGCTTAGTTAACTGATCCTTCGAGGTAAGTTGAAAATGACAAAAAATTTCAAATTTTGAAACTAAGTATTCCAGTCAATTTTTGCCGTACGGGATTCAAAATTTTATTTTTCCATAAAGAGTATAAAACTATAGTATATTCCTATAACTAGTATAGTAGCCAGGAGACTGCATTAGAAGTTAGATTTCTCTATTTATTGAAAATAATTTTTTTCTTTTAATTTCACATTGCCGAAACATGAGTATTTTCGTCATTTTCTGTAACTGGAAAACTACCACCGAAGACTGTGAAAATAAAATCCAGGTAAGGACTTTAATATATACAGATTTAGTACTACCAAATGCAGTAAAATGAGAGGTGCGCAACTAGCATAAATGTTATAACTTACAATTTGTTTCGGAAAAAAAGAGTCTTTTATTCTGAGCATACGTACAGATGTGGATTTGATGAATAAGCGAAATCGAAACTGATCAATCAGAGCATTTCACAAATAAAATAAATGCTTATTTTGGTCTTAAAAGATACAGTATACTTATTTTTACAATTTCCAGTCTTGTTTGCAACATGTTACTTATTTTTTACATAATATAACAAACTTTTAAGAAATAAAGCTTACGCAACGCTTATCAAAGAACACTTCAAGTAAGGACGTTTTTAGCTCGACCGGTTGTTGCCACACGGCGAATCTTAATAACTATTCAAAACATTACGTCATGTTGCCACTTAGGAAGTCTTAATAATTATATAAGAGCATTAAATTATGTTCCACTACACAGACGTCACGCAAAGGTCAAAATGGATATTTCCGCTGAAATACGATATCCGAAAATTTTCTCGATTACAATATTTTCTTTACAGCGTACAAGGAAGTAAAGAGCAACCACAAAAAAAAAAAAAAAAAAAAAAAAAAAAAAAATGCTGCATTAGAGCAAAGTGAAGTTTTCTATGATGAAATAAAATAAAAAATGAGAAACTTTTGGCCAGATTGTAAGTCTTCGTGCGTTCGGTTTTTAAACATACAGTAAAAAGTGAATTCTAAATCAATATAAATATTTCTGTCTAACCCAAACGAATAGCCTGCCACCAAGTAGTATTATAAGGAATATTTTTTCTTTTTCCAACATGTTCTTATTCATCATTTGTTATTCCCAGCGATAAGTCTATATACATTTCTTAAGTAATCTAGCTTTCAAGGAACACTAATTTAGCTAAGATGTTACGAAACAACCCAGAAAAAAGGAGCGGCAAATATTCGCACCGCAGTAATTTCCAAAGTGAAATCTTAAACAAAACTTGACTTGCTAGTTCTAATTCTAATGAGAATTATTATCTTAAGGTCCTTGTTAAAACAGTTTCCGCAAATGGATGATAGCGTCAGATGATTATGAACAAATTATCATCGATGTTTTAGAAATAATACAGAACTTTTAAAAATTTAAATGTCGCTAGAAAGTTTTACGAGAAATTTGAAAATTTAAGTAAGGTGCAATAATGATTTCATTTAGAGAGAAACGTTACTCTGTTTATTAAAACAGTCATCTTTTATGTTTTTAGTAGCATAAAAAGATACAAATGCGATATGAGACAATATCTCACAATATCTGGTCAATATCTCACATGCATTCTTTAAAACTTGCTTAAACGATGTAATTTTAATTATTTGATATCGCTTCATCTTGGTGCTTTGTTTTCGCGCACTTCCTCTATCTATTTAAGAGCATTATATGTATTAATAATAAAGCGTAAAATTTTTAGTAATTTATTTGCAACTATATAAGTCAAACAAAGTAATGCCTGAATGCTTTAAAAGTTTTATTCTTATAGTAAATATGTTTCTTACTAAGGTAAAGGAACTAATTAATAAAGAATGTGAAGATATATTAATAAATTTTCTTTGAAAAAAACGCACTGAGTTTATGTTTTTATGAAAAATATGTATATAGTATGTGCAGATCATTATCTGCTCCCCCCCCCGCGAAGGGAAACCCTTTTCTCTCATTAGTTTTTGGCCAAGCAAGTAAAATAACAAGTTTAAAAATGTTTTTCTAACATAAGAAAAAAATCCAATACATTTTATTTTTTACTTAAGCAAAAGAATATGACCTTGTAATAAATTTCAGTATTTCTGAAGTGTTACAGAATATATTCATGATTCTTTGAAATAGAATATTGTATTTATTTTAGAAGCAGTACGTCAAGCAAATATCATGTTTGCAAATTAAATTTTTGCCGTGAACAAATTGTATTGGATTATATTTGAAAATATTAATACGTCTTCAACTCAAAATTAAGAAAATGGTTAAAAAAAGTATAGTATTGCCATAACTAATACATTATTAGTGAAATAGTTAAAAAAATAATTACGTTCTTCAGATCTTCAAAAACTAAAGCAATAAATTTGACTTACCATTTTAAAAAATGTTATCCCTTAACCGTGTATATCCAAAATTCAGCAAAATGTATCTCAAAGAAGAAACAGATCACACGAATCACAAGTTTTCTAGAATATCTAATGCACTTCCAACGAAAATTACAACGAGACCACCGTCCAACAGCGAAGCCTTGTCAAAGAAAAGGCAAGCTCAACAGAGTTCACCATTCAGAGAGCCATCTGGATTCCTTGAGAGCTCTAAAAAGTGACGTCACAGATATTCCTAAGTGGCCCTCACACTACCGCCTAAAAAAGCCTTTTACATGAAGACATCTAAGGTTACGTTGCCAGTCCACGGCTGGGCGTCTAAAAATATGGTTATAACAGAGCGCGCTGAAAAAACAAACATTGGGCCAAACTGTCTGGTCGAACTGATATACAGCCGGGGGAGTGCTTTGGAAAAACGAACACGCGTTTCCGCAGTTTTCCGTTTTTTTCTGTTTCTAAGAAAAACTGAAAAGACTCGACTCATTTTTCCCTCGTGTACATTCAGTCGAAGCTAGTTGAGGAACACGAGGCAAACATTTCAAAGACAATGAAAAGAGAGCAAATCTGTTTCATGTTTTCTCTGAGTTTTCGTAATATCTCTGTCGATGGAGTAAGTTTGAAATTCCTGAAGATTTTTCTTCTTTTCTTTACTTTTCACAAAGATGTGGATATTTTAGTTATTAATAAATATTCAATCCTTAGTCGATGCTAAGCAGGAAAATTTGTTCTAGAAAACCTAAAAACTTGCATCATTTTATCGCTTTACAGTTAACTTTTCATTTTTTAAGTAAATCTTTGAAAAAGAACAACGACTAAGAATTATTAATTACTTCAGTGAAATGGGGAAATTAAAAAAATTATTTAAATACTAAAAATTTTAATTAGGTGACTTTTAAAAGCTGTATCAAACGCATAGTAAAGTATACGAACAAATTGCATTTGGAAATATTAAGAAGTCAGCAAAATTTCCTTAGTTACATTTAGTTGAATAGCTCTTAAATCTTCATAAAAAGAGTTTCGCAAATATAAAAGTTCAACTAAATGCCCATCTTCTCACAACTTTTATTAGTCTTAACAAAAATATGCTTTTCATTATATGCTCTACAGCACAAGGCAAATCCAATCCCTCAAAACATATGAAATTCTCACTATTAATAAGCATAATAACTGATAATAATATAAATACTATGGTTTAGCTCTTGCTTCAGCAAATCAAAAGAAGCTAAACACTCATTTTCTAAGTAAGATAACTATTTCCAAATACTACGAAAAACGTTTTACTAAGAAACCCCAAATTGTCCAAAACTTCCATGAGAAATAGGTTTCATGATTTTACTGCCAAAATACCTCTGCTACTTGGATTTATGTACTTTTAATATAAAGCTTTAGTTTTTCGGATATATTTCAAGATGCATATACATACACATTTTTAAAGCCGTTAAAAAGTAATCTGGGCCGCTTATATATGGTCTTGCCGATATGAAGAATCTATTACACTCTTTTAGCTACTTCAGTACATCCGTAAGTTTATAGATGTTGGCTGACCCTACCAAAAAGTGACTGCTCGTCACTCCAGTGTGCGCAGATAAAGTGTTCAAATTCTCTTTTTTTCTATCTTTTCTTTAGAACATTATGACCATTGCTTGGTTGTTATCGTGGTTATAAGTGACTATCTCTTTTCAGAGGCGTAGCTAAGGTTTTCAACGCCCGGGGACACCTAAAGATTTTGCGCTCCTTTCTGTGTTCCGAGAATAAAAAGCATTTCATTCTGATATGTGTATCATCAATTTGGCGCCCCCTGGATACTGCCATGGAGGTAGGAAGTAAGACGGAGTCGCCCTAAACAAGTTTCTCCATACCCTGCTCTGAAGCACCGGCGATCCCTACGTGGTGACCAAAACATTGGGTCATTTACCATTGAGTTCTATGGGATTTGACGCGTTCGGGTGTAAATATTTTGTAATTACGTCGCAAATATACATATAAATGTATATATTTTCTTTTTCTACAACACTTCAGAGTCCTAAGTATGTGAAAAAACATATTTTTAAACAACATTTCATTCTGAACGAAATTAAATGCTATACTTTCACAGGACAGTTTTTCTCAGAATGGTTTAATTTGAATGAAATATTTTCACAAGTTTTCGTTAATTACATTAGAAAAAAAAATTAAGGTAATTCGATTTTATTCGGTTAAGGTACAAAAATTAAGATCAATGTTTATTGTATTATTAATATTAAAATTATGCATTATTTCTTTTCTATTTATAGAGCTTCTTCCTAAAATACTTTCTTAAATATGACATGATTTTTCGGCTTCTTTTAAATCGAAAAATGTAAGTCAATTTATAATTAATGCTCTATTCGGTTCATTTTAAATTAGAGAATTATTAGGAATTAGCGAAATACTTTAAATAAGTATTTCGCTAATTCCTAATAATTAAATAGATATTAAATAGTATTTGACTTTCTCTGAACATTTCTGAAAGGGAATAAAATAAGTTTTTTTTTTTTTTTAAGTATTATTTAAAACTTGTAACTGAGTTATTATAAAATGTAAAGGGAATAATTCTTTTAATTATACTTATCAGATTTTTTTTTTTTTTTTTTTACCCTTCATTTCAACAATACATATTCCAAAACTTTTTATTACGTTCTTAAGTGCGCATCTCATAGCATTTGCTTTACAATACCTTTTAACGGATTGCTTTCTAATACGAACAATTCTTGCTTAAATAGTTTTATAACGTATTTGTCAACAGGATTTCAATTTATGTTTACAATTCAATATTAAGGTTATTATATATTTAGATAACATTTATAATCATTATAAATTAGATACATTTAATCATTAGATTTCTTCACAGTACTTTCACAGTTGTTTATAAGTGAATAAATTTTTCATTTCAAATACATTTATAAATAATTTAATGAATATTTAAGTATTTTGTCAAAGGCAGATACATGCGTTTTGAAAGCACATGCATAAATACCCATACATATTTCCTATTTATCATTTCCGGCATGTGCAAATCTTTAATTTCTGTGCATTCACTATATTTTTCGTGTAAAGTAATTTACACTAATTTAGCATACACCCGAAAGTTTTACATAAAAAATATATATGAATATAATTTGAATGAAAATTATAAGTATTATTTTTAATACCCACTCAAAGTTTTTCTTCAAAACCACGCAAGTTTTTCTTCAAAATTCCTCCACGATGGCATCTCTCTCTTTAGGCAGATAGCCCTTGCATGCGTTACTCTATTTAATAAAAACTTAATCTGACCTATATGCCTAATTACAAATATTTTAACATACATAATTTTATATTTACATTTAGCCATCAAGTTTCAAACTTTTCAAATCTTCTAGAAAATAAATTTTTGCAGATCTCTTTTAGCAATTTTCTTAAAATCTATATTTTTGTAGTTGCAACAGCTTAGAATTTTATAAAACAAATTCATAATCAAAATTCGCTGTTGTTAGTTATCGAAAAATAACCAAGATGTGATTTTTGCGTAAAATGTCATTAAACTATACAAATTGCTATTATCCATCACACAAATGAATGTTTCTTTTCATGCGGAGAGTGATCCCGTTTTTCGATTTCTATTGGAACTGTCGTGTGTCGAAATACTATCAAGAAATCTTTTCAAGGCGAGCTTCTGAATGTAAACAAAAGAACACCCCGTCTGGTGACCCAAGCTTCAAAGCAGTGCTTCACTTCTAGCGCGGAATGGCCCCTCCTCCCTTTCCTACCTCCATGGATACTGCGCTTGGCGACAGATGTCCCCCCTGCCCCACCCTAGCTACGCCACTGCCTCCTTTCCAGAGAGCCCGATACCATTTACAGGTGGGAAGTGGCTGTTTATTTAGGACCCGCAGAGATTGCAACAGCAGCAAAATGCTTAGCGCAGGTTCTATTGTCAATATGTAGCAGGAGTGCATAAAATTCATCAGTTCCAAAGTCATCTCAAGACTTGAATGTATTGAGAATCTTTTGATGTGATTTTTAGGTAGGTACGCTCTATTTACTTTTACTGTGTCTACCACAGGGCAGTCACCAGGGCCTTTCCAAATTGTGCGGCCAGGTATAAAAAAAAAATCTTAGGACGACAAAAATTTTAGAATTAATAAGAGGCAATTGGCCAGCAGAATTTAGAGGAGGCAAAAGGTTTACTATTGTGAAAGGTGCTGGGCAGAAGAATTTAGCACCCACAGAGATTGCAGCAGCAGTAAAATGCTTAGCGCCTACATGTAGCAGGACAGCATAAGATTCCTCAGTTCCAAAGTCATCTCAAGACTTAAATGTACTGAGACTCTCTCGATTTGATTTTTAGTACTCTCTGTTTAAAACTGTATTCTCCAAAAACATAACTGCAGCCTCTAGATTTAAGGTCTTGAGCAAAAATCACCGTGAATCCATTTTTCCACCCGCAATTTTTCACGAGCTATAGACAGAAGGACTATCTGCATTCATGTTTCGTTGCAACTTGTAAGTGATCTGAAAAAATCTTCAGAATGTTTCATTTATCCTAAGTATTGAACGTCATTCGATAACAAGATAAACCATATTTATTCGCTAACAAGCAAACAAATATCAGTTTTGAAAATAGTTATTACTTTTTGCGAATATTAGTAGTCACAAATAATCGATAATGCCTTGATAATTATGCTAGTTACAAATAATAAATCGGTGAGAGATGCGTTGAAAATTACTAAAGGAAATGCTAACACTAACTATGTTAAATATTTTTGACATCCACCCACGTCATCCTTGTTCTTCCTAGAGATTCCAAATCGAGATCACTGTATTAGGGCCAAATACTCGAAGGCTTCTGCCTTAACTTCTTCTAAAAAGAAGTAAAACAAAGAGATATAAGAAATTAGAAAGAAATGTTTAATTGTGGAAATGCCTCTTTGTTTATACAATTTCAGAATTTTTTAACTGAGTAACTGAGAACAGCTAGCTAAATTAACGCAAAAAATTTTTTCCCGAGCATTGAGTTGTTAATGTATTAACATTGTATACAACTGGCCTTGAGAATTTACAATAGACGGGCCAATCGTAGCTATATGGGCCAATTTTCAATAACATCTTGAATGAATACGAGTATTGAGATTACGTTGACAAGCAAAGTTAATTTTTAATTAAATGAAAGCATATAATACTATAAATGTAATAT